GTTACTAGGCAATAGTTCAGGTCGAGCATGCATATGTTGTGAAAATTTATGAGACACGAATGAGTGAGTAGACCCAGGATCAATTAAGGCATAAACGGGTTTATCATGGATGAGAACCATACCGGTAACCACTTCTGGAGATACATTTGCCTCTGTTCTTTTCATAGCAAATGCTCGTGGTTGTATGTCAGCTCTGCCTGTTTGACCAACTGTATGCCCTCTGACCTCATAACCACGTCCTCATCCCCTACTAGATCCACCTCTAAAATTTCCCCTTGAGAAGTTACTGGCCACTCGGGATCCCTGCATAGTAGTTTGGGACCTAACCGGCACTGTATCTCCCCAAGTTGGACAATCTTTAATGAGATGCCCAAAACCACCACATTTGAAACAAGCACCCGTCACGGTTCGACACTCTCCCTGGTGCATCCTTTCAACTTAAAATCCATTATAAAACCATTCAAAACTTCATTAAAATCACTTTAATCCTGTGGGATCATATCCCAGCTCTGATACCACAATTTGTAACACCCTACTACTTCTTGTAACATCCTACTACTTCTTCTCGTACTATTGGAACCATCATCACATTATATACACATTAAACCTTAGGTTTTTAACTTCACATTAAGACTTGGACATAACACTCGCATGCGGGTTACATCACTTCCTTAGGAAATTCAAGCTAGTTTTCCCAAAGCATCCAAAAGCATAACACCGAACGATGCAAAGTTTGAGTTTAAAACAAAGTACAAACCCAACATAGTAGTTTAACATTCAGTGGGCACACAAACTTAAAAGCGTTAAAACATTTAGTTCGACTTCAAAAGTGAAAACATGTGGAGATTTCAGTTCCGCCGCACACCTTTCAGCCATCCGGCTGACTTCACTGGTTCGACCGAGGCTTCTGTAGTTGCTTTGGCTCTGAAAGGGAAAAATATTGGCGGGGGTGAGACGCCACTCAATGAGTAATCAATAACCCAATATATACTCCAGTTGCGCACGGATCAGGTACACCAAGGGCTTAAGTTCACTTAAAGAATCTAGTAGCTTAAATGGTACTTTACCCAACTATGTATGCAAGGTTCATTAACCAATTTAAGCGGTTCTCGTATCATACACACTTACCCTTGAGTTACTCATATCAAACCCTATTCCAGGTAAAAACATTTACTAACACATCATTTTGGTATCACCCTATAATCAGCAACATATGGAGGCATGTAACAACTACACAATCTCATGATAAATCATTGCATGAACACATCCCAGTAAAGCCTTCACATAAATACGCCAATCTCATGAACAATCTATTAAACACACCGTAGGAACATCACTTAGCCACATCACAGCAAATCCTTGTACCAAGGCTCAAACACAAGCATAGTTAGCTAGATTATGTACATTTTACTTTTAATGCCAAGTTATGCACTCCCCGGGATCTCGTGAGCTCGTAATCTCGTAGGCACAAAGTTCCAAATCTCATAAACTCGTGGGCACAAAGTGCCATATCTTATGAACTCGTAATCTCGTGGGCACGAAGTGCCATATCTCGTGAACTCGTAGCCAGGCCTGGCGATACTCCTTATAGGGAGTTCTCGTATAACTCTTTTCTTCTCTTTTTCTTTTCATGAGTGCATAACAAGGAGCCATTATGTTTTAATTAGGTGATCACGTAGTTCATGGGTTAGACAATACTCATGTAAAGCATCTCGTCATAAGCCCGTAGGCACACATATCATATCATATGCTCATTGATGCTATACACAATCATCTCAATTGCACATCAATAAATTCTTCACATAGCTCATTCATCAATGCACGTTGAAAATAGCAAACTCATACATATCCACATTATCAATTCTCATCATATAAGCTTATACTCATTCATAGCTCATTTATCGATTTATCACAAATCCACGTATCCGGGCCGCTTCATGACCCGAATACCATGCCCATACTAAAATATATATTAGGTTGAGAATTACTCACAACTCGATTACTCTGCTAAACCCTTTTGCCTTGATGATTCTCCGACTTGCTCCTTGCCTTTAAGAAATCACGTATGAATGATTTAGTACCACTTGTATTTATCATGTTGATCATAATTAAATACCAAGAGATCAATCACAATTATTCCCCAATCTATAAACAATTTTCGGTGCTCACAGGTCACATAGGTAGCCTTACCCTTCTAATGTATATATATATATAAAAAAGTACTATACATTTAGTCCGTAAGAACTCTGTTCAATTAATTCCTATCACTTTAGCCTCGCCATTAGTCATTTTAATAACATGATTATGCATATGACTACATACTAACAACCCACGTTAATTAGTTCTCACCTAACAATGACCTCAACAGCACATGCAAGAGATTATATACATATATATGTATCTCCCTACACCACCCATCCTAGAAAACTCACTTTCCCACCCCAGCATCTGTTTCTTAATTGGATATATATGTATATATACAACCAACAACCATAAAAGACTACATACATACGTAGGTTCTTAATCCACAGTAGCAGCTAAACTCAACCAAAGCTTACATCAACTTCAGAGAGTGCTAATTCACTCTTTTTATCCCCAAAAGATCCAAACAATCTTCCCTTTCCATATCAATACTCGACAGCAGTACTAAAAGGGGAAAACGACTTACCTTATACAATGATTAGTATATTACCCACTTCAATAACCACAAAAGCTTTGCACTCTCCTGATAATACTTGCATGCGGTCTCAAGGACAAGGATGGGAGATAACAATGGTGGAAGAGGGTGGTAAGGAACCTTCTGTCACTCTCTCTTAGAACTCAAAGGCAATGAAAGAGATAAGGGGAGGCCGACCTGTTAGAAACAAAGTTTCTAACAGGTTTGGGATTTTGGAATTAGCTAGGTCAATTAGGGATTGACCGAGCTAGAGATTGGAAATTGGGAATTGAGAACAAAAGGGAGAGGGGAAGCTTGCTGCTGCCGCAGCTTTGGGGAAGAAGAAGAGGGAGGGAGGGTCGGCGCAGGAGGGAAGGAAGAGAGAGGGAGATTAGTTTAGGTTTTCTGTAATTGATTGCTTAATGTCAAAATAACACCCTACTGCAGATTATATAATCCGCCAATTCCCTATCTCCTACCCAACTAATAAAACGTAACAATCGACTCCTTGTTTATTGCTAAATACCCCAAATAATCCCCCAATTATCAAACACCGACAATAATACGAAATAACCAAAAGCTGTAAATTATTTGTTTATAACATCCCTGCCTCCTTGGAAAGCAACCTTGTCTAGGGGTGGGATTCGGTCGGTAAACAATTTACCGTTTACCGAATTTACCGGTTTCGGTATACCGAAGTTGGCCAAACTTGTTACCGATTACCGATACCGGTTTGTAACCGGTTTACCGATTACCGAATTACAGGTAAACAGTTACAAACCGGTATTACCGAAATACCGTGAGAAGTGATTTCGGGCGGTTTTTCGGTCGGTTTACCGAATATTTACCGAACCGAATTTCTGGAAGTGGGGTGATGTTGTAATATTTTGATTTTTTTGACTTTTTTCATCATTTTTATAATTAATAATTTATTATTAACTCTTATTTACAATATGTTTGAGGCCTATACTTACATTCATGTATGTAATATTTTATATTTTTGGGGGTAAAGCAACAAAACGCAGCGCAGCACTAGGGAGTAGGGAGGGGGGATTCGGTATAGGTAATACCGATTTACCGTCGGTATTTACCGATACCGTGTCCGGTAAACCAACTCCCCCAACTTCCCGCTCGGCTGCCGATACCGCCGGTAAACGGTTTACCGTTTACCGTCGGTTACCGGTTCGGTAAAACGGTAAACCGTTTACCGGATTATCGTTTACCACCCCTAACCTTGTCCTCAAAATTGAAGCTTCTCTGACCTCGCTCCGGAATCCTCTGCGGCTTCATCCTCGGCCTCATCTTCCCAGCGCCCCACCAAGAACATTAAATCAGGCTTCCTGCATTTGTGACCAAAGATGAACCTCTCGTCGCAGTTAAAACATTTTCCTTCTCGCCTCTTCTGCTCGATCTCAGCAGGAGGTAGCCTAGTGAATCCCTTGGGCGGTGCCCTCGGTCCTGCTCGAATGGCCGCGGTGGGTGGACCAGCCGTCGCACCCCCTCCCGTGCTCGGGCCCGGCGCCGGAACCCCTGACCCGCTACTCGGCCCGCTACCACTTCCTCCTCCGGTCGGCTTCTGATATCGGCCTATCACTCCCCGCCAGCTAGCCAGTTCCTCCTCCTTATTACCTGTAAGACGGAAAACAGCTCGTAGTGAATCTGGCTAAAATACCCGAACCGCAGCCGCAATCTCCGGACGGAGTCCCGCCATGCATAGGCCCACCAATGTCTCTTCCGGAACGCCCTTGCATTGGTTACCCACTTTGAAGAACTCGGCCCTATACTCCGCCACCGTCCCTGTCTGACGCAGCTTGGCCAGCTGCTCCGAAGCCCATCCTTCATATTTTCCGAACTGATACCGCAACTCCTCCTTAAACATAGGCCAAGTGATTAGCGTATGAGCTTCTGCATAGGTCCGCTCCATCCACTCCCACCACTACAGTGCATCTCCCTCCAAGTAGAAGGAAGCCAGCTGAGCCCTCCGTTCTTCCCTAGTGGGGTGGTTCTTGACCATCGTTCCGCTGAGTATAACCACAGACCTGCATCCTCACGACCTTTGAATTTTGGAAACTCAATGGTGGGGGTTTTAGCTCTAAACACCATGTCATCCTCTTCCTCACCACCCCGGGGATAACCGGCATTCCTCCCATAGCTCGGGGCCCCACTGTGATAGTGCTGCGAGAATCGCGGGTCCCCTTCGCATCCCCAGTCGTCCTCTTCCTCCTCTGGATATCTCGTTCTTCGGCCTAACTCATTCCTCTGCCTCCGATCGCCCGTTCCCGCCCTCATAGGTTCCTTTCCGGTGCCCCGTTGATTCGCAAAAGGAGGATGGGATCCGCTGTATTCATCGAACTGGCCTTGAGGAGCTGGGTAACCCCTGCTGCCGCCTGGGCTGCGTATCCCGTCGGGTGAACCGGTTCGACCAGGGTTCGACCCAATCCGGTCCGGCCGGGTTCGGCTCGACCGAGTTCGGCCCGACCGAGTTCGACCCGACCAGTGGGGCCCGACTCGGTCCTGCTCGGCCCATGTCGCCCCGGCCCGAGGGGCTTCGGCCCACGGCTCCCGGCCGCCCCATCCTCCAGCCGCGGCCCGCCTCCCTCCGACCTCCACCCGGCCCACCTTCCATCCCAGATCGGCCCACCTGGCTGCCTTCGTCCCCTCTGTGATCCGCCCCTAACCCATACAGCTCGTTGGGCCATGGCCCATGTTCAAACTCCTGCTCCAGGTCCACCAACTCTTCCCCGTCCAGGCCCGTTTGCAGGTCCGGGTCCACGTACTCGGCCATCTTGGCCTTGCCGCGCGCGCGCGCCACCTCCTGGGCCGTTGGGGTCGGTAACAGCCCATCCTTGGTTGTTGGGCCGAAAGAGACGTGGCCCGTACGTGAGACGGGTGTCCGGTTAGGGTTGGCCGCCGCCGATCCCCCTTTCTCGCCCGACTCGTCCGCCTCCCTGTCCGTCGAGACCCGCTCGGCGCCTTGGCCGCCGAGCGCCGCTACCGAGGAAGAGCCCTCCCCCGGCGCTCCTCCTTCCACCCATGGCTGCCCGCCGCCGCCAGCTCCGGCCCCACCGTTCTTCCAAGCCTCCGTCAGGCTGCTCACCTGCCCCTGAAACGCCTCCACCGCCGCCAACAGCGCGTCAAGGGTGCGGCCGTGATCTCTGGCCTTCGCCTGCAGCCCATTCAGCTCCTCCTCCATTCGCGCTTGCCTCTCTGTTTGTGTCTCCACGACCTTCCTCAGCTCCTCGATCTCCGTAAGATCCTCCACCACCCCGTCGAGCCCTCCATCGCCCGCATCGGTGCCTTTCTCGGCTGCCTGAGCCGCCTTCTCTGCCGCTTTCATTGACTTCGTCGATACCATTGCCGCCTTCCCTGGTTCAAGAGCTCAAAAGAACTCACTCTCGAGCCAGGCTCTGATACCAGATGTTAGAAACAAATTTCTAACAGGTTTGGGATTTTGGAATTAGCTAGGTCAATTAGGGATTGACCGAGCTAGGGATTGGAAATTGGGAATTGAGAACAAAAAGGAGAGGGGAAGCTTGTTGCTGCCGCAGCTTTGGGGAAGAAGAAGAGGGAGGGAGGGTCGGCGCAGGAAGGAAGGAAGAGAGAGGGAAATTAGTTTAGGTTTTCTGTAATTGATTGCTTAATGTCAAAATAACACCCTACTGCAGATTATATAATCCGCCAATTCCCTATCTCCTACCCAACTAATAAAACGTAACAATCGACTCCCTGTTTATTGCTAAATACCCCAAATAATCCCCCAATTGTCAAAGACCGACAATAATACGAAATAACCAAAAGCTGTAAATTATTTGTTTCTTACATCGACCACACTTTCCTCTTCTCAGGTAATCCCAACTATCTCTAACTCATTTATTTGCATGTCTCAAGGGTGCCTACGTGTTTGCTTTTCAATTTGGGTTGGGAAGTGGAGTCCTCTGTGTCACCAGAAGCTATTAAATGGTTCTAGGAGATAAATCTATTACCCTTCCTTTAGTGGAACCCATTCGGTTCACCCCATCCAAACAAAGTTGACTCTTTACTGCACCCTAGATTCTTAACTTTACCTAAGCAACTAAGTTGAAACGGGTGGGATGGTAAAATAGCAATTACAATTTCCACTTAATTGGGTCCTAATGAAATACTGTGAGTTCCCCAACATCTATAATCTTAGGTAAATAATTAGTCCAAAATTCTCAATATATTAGTAACCATAGTTGGCCACTGTTAAATGAACGATAACACCTATTCAAACATTTACTCACGAAATACGCGTAATTAAGCAGTTTAAGAAAAAGCGGGTGTGACATTTTGAAAAATAAATTAATCAGATTTATCTGTAAAAAAAATAAAATTACAAAAGCATAAGACTGGTTTAAATTAATTGGATTAAAGTTACCTACATAAATGGAGAGTTTCTGTTATGAATGATTACTGACTGTAAAGTTGTTAGACTGAATCCTCAAGCTAACAACGGGCTATAGAGAAAGGCTCATATGAGATAGAATTATTATTTCAGTCATCATGAAATAATTAGTGGTTGATGAAATTGTTAATTGAATTTATCAAATAAATGGAAGTTTTGATGGACTCGTAGATAAGATTGCCAAGAAAAAGAATGATGTGTGTATAAATAAAGGTTAATTTAAATAAATAATAATTAACATTTTGTACTATTTTATTTCTCAATCTCAAACTTTGTCGTGATAAAGAAAGACATAAAATTTAAAAGTCTATCCTATGACTTCTACGTTGGTGATGTAGCCTATATTAATCATTATGAATTATGATTTTCAATATAAAAAAAAACCTTGATTATTATTCTATATTATGTGTAGACGATTTTTAACATAAATTAAATGAAACATCCTAAGCAAATTGTCATATTGATTCCTTTCATTATGTCAGCCTTTTTGTTCTCATAACAAGTAACGAGTATCTCTAAAAAAAACAAAAAGTCACGAGTAAATTCAAACCTAGAAATCAACTGTATCATTATTTACATACAAATTTGCACACTTCATTAGTTTTTATAATAATGTATGGATTTGACGTAAATTTATCGTTTTCTTAACCAAGAATAGGGATGGCCGTAGATCTCCGACCTAGAATGAAAGAGCCATGGCTGGACTACTACTCCGTCGGCAACATATTTTGGGCGAACCCTACGGTGTACAAGTACGACAGTAAACAACGGTCGGATGAAGTAAAGACATTGCAGCAGCTGGTGGGTGAATTGAGGAGTTCGGTTTCAAAGGTAGACGAGAAGTTGATGCAGAAGTTAGAAGGCGGGGATGGAAGGGAGGAGTTCTTCATGAATCAGCAGTCGTGGCTTATGGCATTGATGCCGACGGGCGTAGCTGAAAGTGAGAGCAGGGTGATGATGTTTGGGATGTCGAGCTTGGTCGGGATAAGATTTTATGATGTAGATTTTGGATGGGGAAACCAGCCTGGGTCAGCATGACTGGATTTGCAAATCAGATGTTCAACGTGGTTTTTCTGATGGATTCGCCGATCGGACATGGAATCGAAGCTTGGGTTACCATGCACGCACAGGAAATGACCATCATGGATCATGATCCTGAATTCCTTGCTTATGCCAATAATAATCCAAGTGTATTATGGGCGTGTCTAGCCCGACTTTGAAACGATCGTGTATGTGTGCTTCTCACGAGCACCAAATAGAAGGTTACACAAATTTGAATGTTTTGGTAAGCCGTCGATGTGAGCATTATGTGTTGTTCTATTTTCTTCGACTACAATTGCTTTCATTTGGTGCTATAGTGCTCTCAATCTTTATCATGTAATAGTCTATTGTACTACACTCGTGATTCCTACTTATTTGATGATATATGCGTAATAATAACATGTAAACTTGAAATTTTTTCCTCGTGCATTTCATCAACATCTTTATTTTGTTATATTGTATAAGAACTTTGTTAACTTTTTTAGTTTGATGTTTGGTATTCAATTGTCGATCTTCGAATATTAAAGAGAAATTTGGCATAGAAGAAGAACAAGAACCTATGTAATTAGAAAAATGGTCACACAACTTATGTTTTGTACAAAGTGGTCATAATTTTGTGAACATAATGATACATGTTCATCCAACGATCTAGAGAGAGAGAGAGAGAGATTTCACAAGATGTAGAATGTTATTTAGGTTGAATCCTTTTAGGTATAGGTCTACATGGGTCATATGCAAGTTGACGAAGGCTTCCCTATCTTCTAAGTTGCAAGGAATGACTCAATCTCGCACCTAAGGCAATGTTCATGTCTCATAGATTAACTCCAAGTAGACTTCTCGGCTTAATGGTCATGCAACCGACAAATCGCTAGGGCACTAAGCCTAGATTCCTCTGATTGGAAACAAGCCCAAAGGCAAATGGAATTTCGACTCAATGGTCATGCAATCCAAATCTCACACTACTTGATATATTTTCTAATCTTGACTTAGGGAATGGTGAGCTCAACCTAGATCAAGAACAAACAATAACCACTTATACTAAAGCAAAAGATTGACATGATTAAGCATAAAATAAATGTAGACAAATATGTTCACAATCATTCTTACATACAATCCATAAACAATATACGTGGTAGGTTCATTCTTACAAACAATCCATCTTCTTGAACAGCAAAAGAAGATTAAACATAGAGAGAGAATGAGTGTACAAATGGGAAGAAGAGCAACAATCCATGGCTAGATCCTTCTTCTCCTTCTTGATTTGATCTCCCTTTTTTGAATCTTGTGAGGTTTTGGGGTTTGGATGAAGAAGAAATTACCCAAAACCTCTCTTAACTCCTCACTCTCACAAGAGATAGAATGTTACTTAGCTTGAATCCTTCTAGTTACAAGTCCACATGGGTCGTATACAAGTTAACAAATGCTTCCATATCTTCTAAGTTGTGAGGAATCAATCAATCTTGCAACTAAGGCAATGGTGGTGTCTCATAAATGCACTCCTAGTAGACTTCTCAATGTCATGGTCATGCAACCGACAAATCCGTAGATACTAGGGCACTAAGCATAGATTCCCAAGATTGGAAACAAACCCAAGAGAGAATGGGACTTCAACTCAATGATCATACAATCCAAATCTCACACTACTTGATGTATGTTCTAATCTTGACCTACGGGGATGATCACCTCAACCTAGTTATAAAACAAGCAATAACCTCTTTTACTAAAGCAAGAGATTGACTTCATTAAACATCAAATAGACATAGATGAATAAGTTCATAACACATACAACCCATATAAAATATACAAGTTAGGGTTCATCTTCCTAAAACAACAAGAAGCTAAAACGAGAGCTTTGAGTTCTGCAAAATTAGACGGCCTCTTTGCACTATAAACTAGTTGTCTAGGCTATTGAGGGGGAGAGGTTTGTGAGTTTGATGCTTGGTGCACTTATCGGTCTTTGAACATCATAAGAAAATTGTTGGACGAAAAGCATAACAAGAATTAGGATAATTAGCTGAAATTGTCATATAACTTAGGTTTTTGTATAAAGCGGTGGAAATTATGTAGATAAAATGACACGCACGCAACCAACGGCGGAAGAGTGAAAGGAGACTCTGCTTATATTTTAGACCTTCTCCAATATTAGCATTTTGTATGACCAAAAGGATTTTGCTCCAATGGCGAATGTTGAAATGCTAAAATTTTCAAATTCAACATTTTGTCCTAATCTCTATTAGTGTAAATTCAAATCACCTTAATCAGATAATTTATTCATTATTTTTATTTATGTATTAATTAAGACAGAACATTTCCGATATATTTTTTTTATTTAAACACTTAATATTTTCTTAACTTCAAATATGAAGTTCATAACAAAAACACCAAAATATATTCACATTCATCACATCGTGATGTAAAGTTTTATTTTAACTAATCTGGCAAGTGGCTTCAATTGGAAAATAGGTGCTCAGAGACAACAGAGACCTCCACCCTCTCAATCTCCTCTCCCCCTACCTTCAATCTCCTTTCTCCTACTCGTCTCTCGATCTTCAAATTTACGTCGCTCTTTCCTTCTAATTTTCGCTTGTTCGATTGATGGGCGGTCCTCATTCCTCCTTTCCGACTTGCCAGTATTCCTCTAATGTTATTCTTCTCTTTCGTTTACGTAACATGACTTCCTCAAGAAACCAAAAGAGAACCCCTCTCCATTCTCTTTAGTATGGCTTGCGAGATGACTCGCATACAGCAACAGCAGCATAAGGGTATGTATGTTTTCGAGTGTTGATAGTTGAGATTTTCTCAATCTTCATGGCTGATACCCAGCTGGGTCGTGGATTGGGCAAAGCAATTAGATATGGCTTTTCACGGAGTTTCTGGCATTGTCGAAGTGACTGAAACAATAGTTGGGTAATGCGATTAGACCTGACAATCGGGTCGGTTGGGTAATTTCGGGTTGGGAACTTCGGTTACAGGGTCGGGTCATGTTTGATCCGACCCATTTGGTTTCGGGTCGAGTTACAGGTCATTTCGGGTTATGAGTGTTCTCAGAAATAATATCAAACATGCTTCATATTTTTTTAAGGGTTAATACCCTAGTTTGGCCCGAAGTTTAGCGTATGTGACAGTTCTGGCCTCATTTTTTAAATAAGACATTTATGCCCTACTTTTGAAATTATTGGACAGATTTGGCCCGAAACTTGTGTTGACTGTTAATATTAACGGTCAAACATTAATTCCGTCAATGACTCAGTATCCAGTGCTGAAGTGGCAGAAATGTGGCTTCCATGTCATTTTTATTTCAATTCTTTTTTTTTCAGTATCTTTTTTAGTTCTTAATAACTTGAAAAATAAAAATAAAACCCTAATCTAAACTCCCTCCGTAGATCTCACTTCACTGCTGAGGCGCCGACCCTCCCCCCTCCTCCGCCACCATGGATCGAAAGGAGTACCGCATATGCAATATCGACGAGTAAATCACCACATACCTGTGGGTTGTGGTCAATTATTTATCTAGAAAATCCTTCTCATATTATCAGTCGAGTGAATTGAGAGGGGATGAAAGGGTAATCCTTCATCGGAACCAGGGCTAGCTTGTACAGGACTCGATTGGCCACCGCCAGCCCAATCATGGCCGCGGAGCTCGCCATTATCATGCCGTCGGTGCCGGGTCCCTCTCCCTCTTGCTGGCTTCCGTCTTCCGGGCTCTAATTCGAACAAGACCCAATCGTGAAGTCCCAGAGTCGCCGATCCGAGCAGTGTGCGAACCCAACTGGTGAACGGCGATGATTGACCCGGATTGTCAGCGACGAGGAGTGGAATCGTCGTCATCAACAGAGGATTGGGAAGAAGAGCAGAAAGCCTCGCCGGCCAGGAGCTGCTCCCGGGAAAGGACACTGGGGAGGAGGAGGAATGGATGTCCCATCGACAATGGGGCATCTGGGAACGAGAGAGGAGGGAGCTAAATGAATCCGCGGCGGCAGGGGTGGGAGGAGATCAGAGGAGAGAGTTTAAGATTAGGGTTTTATTTTCATTTTTGACGTTTTTAAGAACTAAAAAAGAGATTGGAAAATAAAGAATTGAAATAAAAATGACATCTCTGCCACTTTAGCACTGGATACTGAGTCATTGACGGAATAGATGTTTGACCGTTAATATTAACAGTCAACACAATTTTCGGGCCAAATCTGTCCAATAATTTCAAAAGTAGGTCATAAATGTCTTATTTGAAAAATGAGGTCAGAACTGTCACTTACGCTAAACTTCAGGCCAAACTAGGATATTAACCCTTTTTTTAAAGAACAACACTAATGGAATGAAATACAAATTGCACAAATCGTCAAAAAAAATCACAAGAGTAATACTATTACAAGAAACACATGATAGTTGATTATCTTTAAACTCCAAACATGTCATTCAAATCCTTGTAATTTTTTTTTAAACATTTCACCAATTCATGAGTGATTTTATCATTTTGGGAGTGATATATAAAATGAAACGGGTCTAACGGGTTGACCTACTAACCCACCCAACCCGACTCAAAAATTTTCAGGTTATCGAGTTCGGGTCAATCGGATTTCGGGTTACAAAAATTTATAGTTTTCAGACGGTTTCGGGTCGGGTCAACGGGTCGGATCGTAATTTGTCAGGTCAAAATGCGATGGTTTGTTTTATAATTTAGTTTCCAGTGTCGACTGTTCTTGAGTGGCCGCTTTTGTTTAGCTTGCCCTGTTCCTAGTATCTTCTCTTTCGTTGATTCCATATAGATGGGGAAGGGCATCGTTGCTTCTATGTTTCGATATGGTATATTCTCACCTGGTGCAAAGTTTTCACAGAATCGCAGATTTGCAAACACCGAAAGAATGGCCTGGGTACAGATCATCAATCAAATATTTGCCCTCAAAACCTCCAGATACCATTACCTAGGACTAAAAGGTAGCTGCAGTCGCACCATGTTTATCACATGGTTCGGAGAATCCAGGCTATACCCTCATACTTTAACCTGTGCTTCTCCCTCGTTTAAATAACAAAACCAGTGGCGATTGTTCAAAGTGGTGTTTTGGTAAAAGAGTTTTTCAATTGGTGTATCATGTACCTTATTTCTGCACGGATGATGCTGGAGAGTTCCTGTTTCGCTTGAGTACCTATGGACACGCAAAATACAGCACATGGTACTCTGATCTCCCAGATCCATTCCATAACCTGAGGCCAAAATCATCTCCTGCAAGAAAGGTATCACCTCTGCCGTGAGCTCTGTTCAGGGTTAATATGGTCTCTCTCTCCTACTGATCTGAGACTCTCTAGATTCCAACCCTCAATGGACCTGTCATACGAAATCCAATAGCTGTGTCAATGTTATGTTAACGCGATGAGAACATCGGTTCTAAAAGTGACTCTATAGGTAAGGTGGAAGAAATCTGAAGCCGACTCCCCAAACATGCTGATCAGGAAAGAGGATGGCCACAGCAGCAGCAGCAGCAGCCTCATCGGCTATAGGTTGTTTGAGCCGTAAAAACCAGCTGGTTTGGAGATCTTGGTGATGTTGATGCAGTGAAAGTCATCGAGCACATCGAGCTAGAATGAGAAAGAGTGCACTACTGGTGGTCCAGTCACCTGGCTAACTCCAAAATGGAGATCAGAGGGAGACCTGCAGGCATTTTCAGCTGCAGCCATTGTCAGCTGCAACCATTGCCAGGCCTATATATGATAGCTTTCCGAGTCCTTTCAGTTAGGGGAGATACAAAGCAGCTGTCTACTAGGGTTATACCCATCATAAACATAAAACCACTTCGGATGTCATTTTGCCGCAAAACGGGTTTGCTGAGTGAAGAATTGCCTACTTTTCGACCAGCGAGAGAGCCAGCCAAACCCAGCTGGCAATGATCAAGTTGAATTCAGGCCTCTGAATTTGTAGCTAGATGATCAAAACTGGAGAGATTGGTTCGAGTTACATGTAATCATTTTATAATCTCTCATCCATTCACTTGAATCCATATCTAGTATATGAGACCGGAAATTTAAGTGCTCATCAGTACAGCAAGAAATTTGCATTTTTGCCATATACCTTGAGCGAATTATGTTGTTTCCAAGGTGACATATTTTAATGGCTTTTGAGTAGCCCATATAAGGAATTCGCACTTTGCTGGAAAGATAATGACATAAAACAAATAACCATTTCCAGGCCTTCTTTCCCTCGGTCATCCATGTACATTTGGTATGCAAGAGATTTCACATATGCAAGAGGGAAAGGGTGGGATTGAGAACCTGTAATGTTGTAATGTATTAATTTTCCAAAAATTGGAAGATTCCTGTGCTATGCTATGGTAAACTTAAATCTACTAGACATAATCGTAACATCCAAGTTCATGCACTTTCACCTTAAGTTCAGAAATCTACCAAAAGTATTTACCTTTGTATCTATCGGCCACCAGGCAGCTCGTTAACTCCATATTATCTCCCCCAAGAGCTTGTTAACTGCATCTGGGGCAGATTCTTCGCCTCTTATGCTTACCCCAAAACCTGCATTACCAGAAACTTGCAGAGCTCAAATCCTTCTGTGGGTTAACATATGCTACATGTCAAATCTCAGTGATGGTTCAAAAATTACTCCAGTTAGCTAACTCTCCCATTCCTGGAAATTTCAGTTTTCAGCAATGGAAGCATATCTGGACAATAACTTATCAGGATAACTCTCTTCCTACATGCAATACCAGACATTAATGAAATAGCAAAACCATCTCTGCAGATGGGCAAAATCCAATACAAGTTTCAACTAGGAGGACCCCCTAAGCGAAATAAGGAAACCAGAAGCCAATTGATATAGAAACTGCATATGTGAATTTGCAGTGAGACAAATGTGGGAAGGATGTACAGAATGCAGCACAGGGGGCACTTCAAAGACAAGGATAGATGCAACATTGAACAACCAAATCTAAGCAAAAAATATTCAACATAAACCAGATAAACACAGCATGATGTTGAGACAGTCTTCAGATGCAACTAACTTTGACATAGGCTCATGCATTATCTTCACAAGTAAAAAAGGGAGTAAAATGCACACCGAGGCTCTTGTCCCTAACACCACTGCCAATTACACAATCAGATAGACTACCAAATACAAAAAATATAAGAAAAAACTTAACAGCTAGGTAACTACGCCAGTTCTCCTTCAGTTCTTAACCTTGATTCCATAAGCAATCAAAAAATATCATGCAACACAAATGTAACCAAAAAATTCATAACATCCTCTAGGGTAGACCCCCACTGGAGAACAAGAAAGCAATCCACCCAGCTTCATCTTGCATCCTTTAACTGGGTGTTAAACCACTTTAAACAAAAAATAAGCATTCAATAAGAACAGTGGATAAGCTGCTAATGTCAATAGGTTTTATTCTTTTCAGATTTGGCCACAGGAAAGTGATAAACTAGGCCTAGCTCGGCAATGGCATTATCCAATAGATAAAAAGAAATTAGCCTACCCTTTTGAAGTCCAATCTAGAGGAAAACTTACAAAGACAACCCACAAGATTAGAGTGTGGTGATCACCCATCCCTAGGTCCATGTATTCATGAAAATTCTTGTAGACCAGAAGAGCTGAGAGATACACAAGAAGCAACAAAGGTTCAACAAATAAAACCCCAAGCAAGAGACTACCCACTACTTAGGGATGCTAAAACCACAAAGCTTCACAATTCCTTTATTCCTTTCTTTTTTACCATACTTCTCTTCGTTCTACTTCTTGATTGAATAATCATCTTTGTTTCCTAATATATGAACCTCCATAACAATCTTAAGAACAGGGGCAGTCCGGGTCACCTTCATTAAATGAAACTAATAATAAGTAAACGCAAGTATCCCAGAAATCAGTTTATTCAACTCTTCCTTCCTAGGTTCTCCTTTACACTCTTGATCAATCAGATTGCATCAAAGCACACAGATGTGGATTCTCAGAGTGCCTAATTCCACCGAGTTCAGTATATGACTTGGACACAATCATCAGGAAGCTCTTAAGAGGGGAAAAAGAATCATGCCATGTATCCTAATGGAGCTAAATACAACAAGTACAGCCAAGGGTTCTGTCCAGAAACATAATACAGTTCTGTTCAGTAAAATGTTAAGACAGACCAGTGCCTACAACTCAAAGCTCATCACAAAGAAGTGTAAAGCAAACTAAATTTAGCCTGCAAAGAAATCACAACCATTGTACATGACAAACATGCCTGAAAATGCATGTATATCCTTGGTGAATTGGAGACTGCATAGCATGACAGGAAAAAGGCATGCAAGTTTCCTCATGGAGAGATGTATGATGAAAGAAATACAGTGGCTACAAAAAAGAGCATGACTTCTAAGAGAATGAAAACACCGAATCGATGCAATGTGGGTGATTGAATAGTTCTTTATACTGTTAAAAAGAGTTCAGTATAATTACAAGAACAGAGAAACAGATATACTAACCAAGTCAGAAATACGGGTCTATACTTGGAAGCAAAAGTTCCCGCGATACATTTGTCAGGGAGGGAAAATACAATATACAGAGTCCTGCCAAATTCTCCACAAGATCTAAATGCCCGACTTCAGGTTGTAGTTATATTCTGTCCAGTGTTATCAAATGCTTGAGTATGTGCTCACAGTGTCTGCTTCCTTCTGTTGCTCCCCAGCTCTAAGAGAAATCATCAGTTAATCCCCACAAAATTGACACTAACCTAACAAGAAGATATCATTTGAACAACAATTAAACGGTAACTTGACTTCCATAGAAAAGGCAGGGAAAGTAATATTGTCGAGAGAAAAAAACTACAAAATCACACCAGATTCATTCAAATGGGATCTCATCAAGCAAGTTGAAAGTACGAAAAGCATGGAACAGATGCTCACCAAATCACAGTAGGCGAGTGTAAAAGTAAGAACTAAACAGATGTCTGAATTTTAAAGGGACGGAAAATGAGCATGAAAAGTAATGGCGCACTTAAACTTAACAAACATTTAATTTCAACTTCCAATGCTACTTAGCCCCAGAATGAAGTCAGAAGCATACTTAGGAAGTCCCAGGTACATGGAGGAGGTTCAACGTAGATAACGAAACAACCACAAGTTAAGAGAAAAGAGGGAGTTACCAAGACAAGGACGGAAACCTTCAAACTCATATCCTTAACCTGGCCTCCAGCAATTAACAGTGGACATGTCCGGTCTACATGGCCTCATCGGAGAAACACCATGACCTGCAACAACACAAGCTATGGTCAACAGATATGGGATAAGAGAAGCTCCACGTCAGTTTTGTGGCCGCACAGTACTTTCTTAGCAAACAATATCAGGGATGACCTGGAATTGGAGGTGCAGCTGGCAAATTGTTACTTGCAGGGAACTGAACACCAACAGTATTCACTGGTGGCCTTTCAACTGGTCCTCGGAAGAAACCTGGCATACCAAAAACCAATCAGTCCAACAAAAATTTTGACAGGGCAAACATCCAGTTGAAAAAGAGAGAACTTGTTCAGTTCAAGTGACACAGCACATATAACCATAAGTTGACAGACTTGCGATGACTTTTTTTATAAAGTACTGTGATGGAGTCCAATAAACAGTAATTATGAAGACAAAAACAAAGATTGAAATACTTGATCTGGGAGACCATTCTGGCAAGTGCTCCAAAGAAATATTAGAGTCATTATCAAAGGCAAAATTATGCATTTTGAGGCACCAGAAGCTGCAGAGGGTGCTCTATTTTATAAAGAAGCATTTGCTTAAATCTCAAAGGAAACTATGACACCCTTTTTTTCTCTTTTTTTCATTCTTTTTTGGGCGATATTACGAAGTAAGATCCCAAACCCAAAGTCTACTACACGGACAAACAAATCAGGCTGCAGAAATACTACATTCACTATAAAATTTAAAATTAGATATTTTGATGCACCAAAAGGAAGCTAGATCACCCTTTTGCTTTCCTTTTATTTTTTGTGGGCGGTTTTATGAAGTAAGAATCCCAAAGTCTACTACACGGACAAACAAATCAGTTCACAAGCTGCTGCTGTCATTCACAGTCAACAGAGAAGCCAATTACTAGTCAAAACTGAACCTCACCAGTATCACAAAGCACGCAACCACACATGCACCGCAATCGCCTAATTATCAGATAAAATTAATCACAATTAAATTAACCCACCCATATAATTCCAAGAAAAATCTTAATGAGAAACCCATGCCTGTTGCAGCACTATATACTATCGCTCTATTCCCGATGTTCATCAATGACTCAAGGTGAGAACAGCCTACCTTCTTGGCTAATTGAATGCCCTCCATGCGATTGCGTTCTTCCACCAATCCATCCATTATGTTGATTGTTAGCATTAAATTCATTCGAGGGCATCCTCCACTGATCATCGCCAACAAATCTCCTATGCCCATCAGGATGGGATGGCACAGGAAAAGGATGGGGATAGGGTTGCTGGTGGTGTTGCTGAATCACTGGCTTTGAAAATTGAAAATGGCCCGGCGCAGTTTGCGTGAGGCTTGGATTCACAGGCCGAGGCACAAACGATGAGTTGCCCGGCTGGAATTGAGCATTGTGTTGGGATGCTTGCGGATTCAAATACATGTCATTATGACTATACTCCAAATGCCTGGAAGAACTGAATCCAGATGTTTCTTGAGAGCTGCAAACGGCTGAATGAGCAAAACGAGGTGACTGGTGACTTTTCATGACATGATCCATATGCTTCACATGAGCAGTCCCAGTCATTTGACCGGTTTTATTTCCCTGAAAAATATACACGTGCAGGATTAAGCAAGCAGCCATAAAACACACAAAATATTCTAGGATACAGTCAGAGATCATACACTGGATGTACTGCAGTATTCATGAGCTGCAGGCGTCTGATAAGCCAACTGTGGTGACTGTATAGAAGGCTGTGTTGACATTAAGGACTGAGAATGTAGAGGTTGAGCTGGCACTAAATGTTGATGTATCAAAGGTGGCTGAGGAGCTGAGGGTGGCCCAGGAGGGAGCTGTGATGGAAGAAGAGATGGTGGTGGAGGTGGAGGCGGAAGAGGGGGTGGTGGCAGAGAAGAGCTTGGTGGAGGAGGTGGTGGCAGAGAAGAGCTTGGTGGAGGAGGTGGTGGCAGAGAAGAGCTTGGTGGAGGAGGTGGTGGCAGAGAAGAGCTTGGCGGAGGAGGAGGCAGAGGAGGTGGTGGAGAGGGTGGTAAAGGTGGAAGCTGAGGAGGAGAGCCCGGAGGGAGCGGTGGCGAACCATCCGGAACAGGGGGAGAGTCAGCAGGACTGTTTGATGAAGGTTTGACCACTACCCTATCAGAGAAATGGTCTTCATCTATTTCCATTTCAGGTCCTTCATCCTTAAGATGGTGACCCGAGACATCTTCCATTTCAAGTTCACCGTCCACATCCTCTAAGATACAATGTCGTCTGTCAGTGGGTGTAACCGTATATGCTTCGGACTCTCCTAAGGTATTGTGATCAGGTTCTGCCACCGTGGGCATGTCCCCCACTTTCTTAGGCAACTCCAATAATAGATCTTCATCGTCATCTTCTTCAAATATGTTTCCAGAGAACAAGCCAGGTAACTGAAAAGTGGCATTACTGGACAGCAGCGAACAAACATATTAAGAACCAATTTAGTCAATACACCTAATGCTGGCAGTACATCGGAAAGAAATGGAGCAGAAGAAGCGCCTTAAAAGAAAGCTCTACTTAAGAGTCCAAATCTAGACAAAAGTACTGCACATCTTCTTTTTTGGGGTAAGAACTACTGCAGATTTCTGCCTAGCAAGAGTAGGAACTTGAAACTAAATAGTAAACATCCGATAGACTACCCTGTTCATTGCAATAAAAACAGAAAAACAAATTTCTTCCAACATCATAAAATGTATTCAGGATAACAAAAAGTTTCTTTACTATAACAGCCCCACATATTATCAGGATAGATTCTCTCAAGTATCAGCTAAAATAATCCTATAAGGATAAATGGATAAATCCACCATACCTCCCATACTCATCGACAAGCAACCCTTCCATCTCTCTGATAGGATCATTTAAAGCCCTTTCGCAGCGGGATGGACGTCTAAGAGACAAACCACCAGAGATTTCATCATTTGAACCCCCAATTTCATCCATAAACCGCTTCAGCACAGATTCAGGGAAGATTTTCCGGCGAAGCCATAGTTTCAGCACCTGTTAAGTGGATATATCATCATTGTTCCGAATTTGGGCACAGAGAACTTATGTGGTTAAGAAAATTAACCTTGAGACACTGCCTGCGATTTTCCCGTGCACCAGCTCCAGGTGGAGCAGCGGCACTCAGAAGACGTGGTAACGCTGCCTGAACTGTTGGCACATATGAAGCTCCAGCAATTCCTGGTTATATTTAGCAATTGAAGACGAAAACACTAACTCTTAGATTACGATTCAATTATATTTCTGAAGAATAACATATGATTCCCAATCTTCCAAGCAAAATGAAGGAAACCTTTTTGATGAGAAGAACACTGGGTAATTGAATCCACAAGAAAGAATAAGTCCACTTTTCGATGGGAACTGGTTTCACTTTCTAGCTTTCTGATCAAAAGTTCCACAACCTGAAAACAGTAGCCTGTTGTTAAATGATTCAAGGAAACAACAAGTGGTAAAAAAAAATGAAATTTAATCACTAAACTACTAAGTTCAAGTAGAACATCATATTGCCAAATTAAGTCAATGACATGTTCTTCATAGTATAAACATCTGATATATATGGTATGCTTATTGTGGACCCTATTGTTGAACTGATATATAGATCTCGTCGACCCTACTGTTAAATCAAACCGCACACCAGGTCAAAACAATATGGGTAAGGAAGTGAAAGATTGTAACAAGATATACAGACCATACTGGCTCAGACGTAGCAACCAAAATGACAAAAGGCACAGCAGCTTCCACCACCCAAAGGCGAATGGATAGGCCGGTGATAAGTCCGGGTACAGTGAGTGTTTCCATCAGCTTTGCATAAGATCTACAGCTCTATGTAATCATCTTAAGATAGAACAATTAACTTACCTCATTGGAAATTCCATATTTGGCACAGTCTATGGCAAGACGGGTTGCGCGCCCTATACTTTCTTTTGTCCTCGACAAAGTCTCTATCATCCCTTCAAAAGCATCACGCGCAACAGCAGCCTCTGTGCCGCCACTCAGTGAGCCTCCAGGGGCCCTATGTCCAGAACTGACCCTTTGATCCTCATCCTCTTCATTTTCGATTCGAGTCTCAGGCCCTAAAGGATGATTTTGTGTAGATGGAGAAGGTACATTTGGGTGAGGATGAAACCCTGATGCATCACCCTGCATCCCATTGGACATGCCAGATGGTAACGGTTGGAGAAACGACGGACTAGGGCTCCATCCATGAGCATCATTCATGGACAGAAGATTATAACTGGAGTTCCCAAGAGAGAAATGTTGGGTATGAGCTTCTTTTCTTTTTGCTTGAGCGGCAGCAATGAGGTTCTTCATAGATATGGCAGAATCTGAAGCATTATCATCCGCAGCAGCTTCAACTCTGAAAATAGGCCACAATTATGGTCACAGGTAAGAAATAACAACTGAAGAACATAAGATACATATATTCATACATACATTCCAGCAGGTAAAAAAAAATCATACATTCAACGAGGAAAAAAAAATCATACTTCACTGAAGTTTCCAGCGAAATGGCCTGATCACCCACGCGTGATGGGACTTTCGGATTACTTTTAGGTCTCTCTCCAGAAAGAGCATGCCTATTTCTTTGAGCTGCCACGTGATACTGGGAAGCTTTTGCACCATCTGGGACCATACCTGAGGACTTACCAGAGGCAGCCTGGGGATTCTTTTGCAAACCAGAAGCTGTTTTCACGGAAGCCTTGCTGGTTTTATGCTGGTCCACCCCTGTTTTGGGTGGACCAAGTGACATAGGAGAACTCTCAGGAGAAGTCAGAGCAGTATTTACCTCCTTTGCTATTACCTGCTCTTTGTCAGCCTGGGGCTTCTTTTGGGCACCAGAAGGTGTTTTTACAGAAGCCTTACTGGTTTTATCCTGTCCCGCCACTGTTTTGGGTGAAGCAAGTGGCTGAGGTGAGTTCTTAGGAGAAGCCAGGGCAGTGCTTACCTCCTTCACCTTGGACATTACCTGCTCTTCATCAGCAAGGGGCGTCTTTTGGGCATCAGAAGTATTTTGAGAAGCCTCACTGGTTTTGTCCTGTTTCACTACTGTTTTGGGTGATTCAAGTGACCGAGGATAGTTCTTCGGAGAAGTCAAGGCAGTGCTTACCTTCTTGAGCAATACCTGTTCTCCATCTTCACATGGACTCTGTGAATCAGGATCATTATGCATCTTCACTGTGCTCGGCCGACCAGGGTAAACACAATTCTTTTGCAAGTTTGAAGATGCCTCCTTCAATACATCATGGTGTCTAGCAGATTCAGTCACATTTGATTGGGTGTTAACTACACATTCATCTTGTCGCTTACGAGAACCTCCAGTGTCTTTGTCCCTGTCCTTGATATCACCAGAGACAGCTGCTGGAGGTTTCATACTTCTGCCAGTCCCACCATGAACAGGAGTTTTAGGATCGTCATCCTCTTCTTCCTCGTCATAGAGGCACACGGCTCTTCGCCTTTTCAAATTCTGATTGCCATGAACTCTAGCACGACTATAAGACAAGTTATTCTTTGGATCAGGACTTCCTTTCGTTCTATCTTTTAAATTATGAACAGAATCAGTCATTGCCTCTTGTGCTCGCCGCCGACGTTTCGATACTGGTAACTCATCCTCATCACCAGTAGTATCATGCACCTTACTCCTTTGATTAACATCTGCTTTACCTTTACCCATATCACCAATTGGATTGGCATGAACTTTTCTCACTTGGGCAGACGAATCAGACTTAACCTTACCAATAAGGGTAGATGAACTGGATTTTACTTTATCCATCTGGCGAGATGCATAAGATTTTCCTTTATCTGCTTGCGGAGACGCAACAGATTTTAACCCAGTCTTTCTCGGTGACGCGTCCAATCTGCCTCTACCTGACGCAAGTGATGCATCAGAGTTAGCTTTACCTGTTCGTGCAGAAGCATCAACCTTCACTTTATTTGCATGGGATCCTGGACCACGAAGAACTCTTTGCCCAGACGATGATTTGCTCGAACTGCCACCAAAAGCATCAGAGTTCATAGAATCTTTGGGGGATTCCACATCTTCATGCTTCAGTCTTTTAGATGGACGAGAAGCATCTGAGGCATAAACCTCGGACTTCCCTGATCCAGATCTGGAACTCTTCTGTTTATCACCCATGTTTTCACGAATGCCATCAGGTGCATTTGAATTTGTTCTAGCTTTCTGCATTTCTTTTCTTTTCTTCCCTTTCCTAGTTCCCGTAGGGTTACCACCAATTCCAGAAGGAGATTTGCCTTTCACTTTGTCTTTCAATTCCTTCCCAATATCAGACGATTTACAAGGTTTCACATCTTCCTTCTCAACCAAAACTGAACTCCTATCTCTACGAACTTTCACCGCATCATCTACTCTCCTAACTCCGTCAGTGCCAACCTGAGACTTATTACCATTTTCCTGAACCTTTGTGTCAATATCCACTTCCTGCATGTCACCAACATTTACTCTTGCAGCAATAGAGGTATCATTTTCCCCATCTGTAGTTACCGTAGGACCAGATGCCACCTCCTGTGGCTGCTCATCATCAGAATTCTTGTCAGATGACACAGCCCCGACTGGACTGTCACCCGTATCACATGACACAGAAGGCACTGTTTCTTCAGAGTCAGCTTCACTTTCTCTTCCAGAACAATAATCTCCTTTGGATCTGGAATCACCTGCATCTTCTGATGCTTCTCCATTGGATCTAGCAGCACCATCATTCAAGTCCGCCTCTCCGCCATGTCCCATTCCATCGGCAGAGGTTATCTCCCCCCGAGCACTTGACTTTTTATTTTGTAACTTCTCAAATTCTGCAGAAATTTCCTGCACTGCTTCTTTAAAGCGCTTGCTCTTGCCTTGACACTTAGAAGATAACTTGGTCTTTAATTCACTTGTGAATACTTGGATATCAGGAGGGGCAACAAAAGCTCTGAAATATAAAAAGGAAACCAGTATATGAAAATAAGAAGCTAATATGAAACAAACAAAGTCAATGACGCAACCAAATCAGAAACGATTACATGAAGGGAACAAACTGATTATCAAGCTATCATTAGGCAAAGTACCATGCAGAAATGAATGTGTATGCATCTCATTCAAAAAGAAGTTGAAGACCAAAAAGGATCAGCATGCATTTGGAGTTCTCCCAATGAAAGTGTGAGAGTGCATCCAGATGAGACACAGCACCATGTTCAAGAGTTCAATTAAAAGAAATGATGAAGAATCAGAGGGAATAGGAGCCCAAGTAAAACTGTACGTTCACCCTAATGTCAAAAGACATTCGACGTGAAGTCTTTTGGTCCCCCAAAATCAAATATTAATTCACATTAAACCGTTGTTTTCTCCATGTTCATTCCATTCATAAGGAAGTTTACAAAAAACAAAAAACCATTACTAAAGAAACTATATACATCACTGAGTAATATGCCTAAGTTCAAATATCGTACCACCACAAGGAAGCAATGTCTATGACGCTATCACAAGTTTCCGACTAACAACTTTGAAATTCTTTTTTATGTGACAAGACCATACACTCCCACCGTAAGTAGGGCGTTCTCATTAAGTACAGGAAATGCACATAGCAAACTAGCTTGGCATGTATCCACATAACTTATTTGATAACCAGCCAGAAACCACAATAGGGCCTATAGATTAAATGAGAAAACAAATGCGAAAAATGGAGAAGACTCACATTTCTTGAGTTCCAAAGAAGAAAACGAAATGTTTCTTCGGGTCCGGTGTCTTCTTCCAGTCTTCAGGCCGACATATCTGTAACCAAAACCGTAAGGTCCAGTTTAAAAGCACCTAGCAGGAACATAGACCAAGATGCTTGACAACGAGGATAGCCAACATCCATGGCCCTCCTAGGTTATTGTTAGACAACAGCCAATCAATCATAAAGAAGCCCAAAATTCAAAGTGAACATGAGATAACGAATTCAGTCTTCTCCATCCTGTCACACCTAAGAACATATAATTGACGAAGTAGTAATTAATAATCTGAAAATGTACCAAAACCTAACTAAAGCCTCCTCAACCCTGATACAAATCACAATAAAACAGCATGATTCGCAAAATCCTGGCTCATCAATCATACAAGTGAAGTGGCCAATAGAGCCAGATTATACAAAACAATGCGCAGATGCTCATAATCAACAATGCCAATTGTCGTTTGCACATAACCGTATAGCCCCTAGAATGACAACTTTAGAAAAGCATAGAGTAAGGATGTAAAGTTAAGGACTACCCAGAAACGCCAACTGAAGACAACCCACGAAAAATCAATCCAGTGAAGCGTGGAAGCTGTTCAAACCTAATTACTAGGGTTGCCAGAAGCAGTGAAAAAAAGCAAAGCAGAAAAACGGAGCAGAGCCAGGAATATAAGAAGAAGCGAAGTGGGGAGGGGGGGAAAGATAGAAAAGAAGAGCTGACCTTGGCAGGCCAAGCAGGGAATCCCTTAACTTTAGCGAGAACAAGATCGCCCAAACTGAGCTGACTCTTGGCCTTAGCCTTATTCGCTCCCCTTTTACGCCCCGGAGCCATAGGCGCTCAAGTCGATCGCAGAATTGAACCTGGTGACCTAAAATTGAAAGAGGAGGAGCACGAGGAGGATTCCAGTTGGAGAACGGATTCCGGAACAAAGAACATACGGAGCAAGCGGCGGCGGCGGCGGAAAGGAGAGGTCAGGGTTCCGGCGGAGGAAGGGTTAGAGACATTCGGGAACTGCAGAGCGAGACGGAGGGTCTCAAGGATTTCGGGCGAGAGGAGTTGGGTTCGATTTTGTGTTTTTGCGGGAGACGATGATTATTGGCGGGACAGGAAAGCGAAGAGGAAGAGAAGGGCAAGTCTTTCTCGTCTTGGATTTTCTTCTTCTTCTTCGTTGCTGGTTCTGGGTGGGTGGTGGTGGTGACGGCCTGCGGGTCGGTCGGAGAGGTTGAAAAACGCTCCTACTGCAGAGAGGGGCGAGTGGGGGTAATTCCGGGATTTCAGTCTGAGATTTAACAATGCTTTGTGTACATTGTACAATCCTGTCTAGTAAGCAAAGCGAGTCAGTGAGTGACACTAGTCTCCACCAAGTCGGCTATTTTCCCTGCTTCCACCAACGAAAACATTGAAAAATACATATGAATATATGATGTAGACGAATTACGATAAATAAATTTGGTTAGTCTTCCAAAAAAATTTAACTCAAGGATTGAACTACTGGTAATGCAGGGATAAGAAAATCAATCACATACGGATTTCAAACTTGAAGTTAACAATCATCGGCAAAAAATAAAATTAGGCGAGAACAAGTTTTTAGCCATAAATTATTGTAGAACGTTTTTAATTTAGTGTAGAAGTTGAAAGTCATCCGTACCTAAATCATTGATAAAAAAAAGTAATATGAAATAAAATGATTGATTGATCGACATGATATAGAGTTGTACAACACAAAAATTAAATAGTGTCAATCCTTAATTGAGGAGATCTTAATTTCTATTAGTCAGATGTGCCTCTAAGTACTTAATTACCTTCTAATTGATGTGGACAATTTCACCCCTCACCAATGAGACAAACAAAGTTTGACACTCTGCTCATAACTTGAGGGAAGAGATGATCCAACACCCCGAAGATCTTTAGCGATGATCTTATAGACGACTTCATATAGACCAACAATCCACATATGGTGAATGAATTGGATTGTGCAACTTTTGAATATAACGTAAGCTTACAAATGCCCGTATGAGAGATGATGCTACAAACGATTTCTTACTAGATGTGAACGAACATATGGAGATGACCATTCAAGTCAAGCTCTTGCATGAGACCAACATAAGATATTCTCAAGTGTTACCATTCGACCAATCTTCTCAATCATGATGGCGGTAACATGAACCAAAAGTGAAACAAATCTCGAAGAGGATACGAAGAAGTCTTTGTGAAACATGATAACAAGCACGACTTAGTTAGCCATGGCAGCCACACCATCACCTTTCTTCGGTTCCATAATGAATGTATCCCAACAACGTACATGAGACTGCTTCGTATACATCTCTTGTTGCCAAAGCTCAAAGATTCAAACACGAACCAATTCCGAAGAAGGATCCAGCCCATAGCTCATCCAAGAAACAGCTTGACAAAGGAGATTTGCAGCAATAAGTCCCTCGAGAGACCAAGCATGCAACATTTGACGAACCACCTTCCAATTTAACAAGAAAGTGATACATCCACGAGCCTTGATCCAAAATCGACAAAGACCAAACGACCAGACTCCAGCTATCATGCCCTCGCCGTAAGATGCAGCGGAGGACCTGATCATATGCTTGATTTCCATTTCTCGACCAGAAGGAAAATAATTTCCTTCCCGTTCTCACAATGTTATGGACTTCATTTACTTCAATTACGCAATGGTAATCCATTTTAGCTCTGTATTTCATCACATTTCTCAAATCAGAGTTGAACTTGCAGCCTGTTCCTATATAAAAACGCACTTGACTGACTGGACTCCAAGTTTCTTAACCAAACAAAACCTATGGAACAAAAGAATCGGCTGCCACACCATGCGAGTGAATACTAATAGTGACGACAACAGAAGAAGAAAGAGAGTTTCAGCACAGTATATCTATCTCTATCCCCTTCCCTGCGTGTAATATATAGAGTAAGCAAAAGCTAAAACAATTATGAATTAACCATTCTGCAAAAAAACCTTGAGGTACTTAAACCGGTAAGCAATTGGAAACATTCAAGGATATGAAAGGAACCATGAGGAGAAAATGACTGATCGGTAAGACTGCCAGAACAACAAAATGTTCACACTTTCCGAAACAACTGATCTCACTTAAACAAAGAACAAACAAAAAGTCTCTAATCCTACATACTACATAGTTAGAATGATGTTGCAGCATGATTAGATCATTCGAGCTGAAATCATGGCTGCCAGATGAATAGTTTATGAGGGCATCAAATTATTCAAGCAGTAAAATATAACCCCCTCTGAATTCCTCTCCTTTATAACTAACCTCCAAGCGGATTAAAGATAAGCAGGAGAAATAAATACGATAACCCAGAAGTCAACCAAATCTAATGCAGTAAGGGAAGAGTCAGACTCCCCTGAAACAACTATCGGAAATAGCTAGCACAAAACTCTGACATACGACAACAGAGTCCATTCTGCCAAAATCTTACCCGCACTCCAGTCTTTAGTTTGAACCCTTTTGCTTGCCTTCCTCGGCAACAGCATCCGCCACCAAATTCATCGGCCGGTGATCAATCACCTCATCAATGATCCCAAATTCCTTGGCCTCTTCAGGGGTCATAAAGTAATCCCTGTCCATGTTCTTCTGGATGATATCAACAGTTTGGCCAGTATGCTTTGAATACAGCTCATTCAATGCATCCCAAACACGAATTATCTGCTTTGTGTGGATTGTCATATCCTTAGCTTGCCCACTGTACCCACCAGATGGTTGATGGATCATTACTGTTGCATTCGGAAGTGACTTCCTCTCGCCTTTAGCTCCAGCAGCGAGAAGAAGAGAAGCCATTGATGCAGCTTGGCCTAGGCAAATCGTATTGATTGGGGACCTTATATACTGCATGGTATCATAGATAGCAAGACCTGCGTATCACAACAAAAGAAAATTCTTAAAAGTAGCCGTCAACGAGAAAACGCAGCATACGGATGAGAGAAGTTGCAAACTTTCAGATGAGAACAACAGTTGCGCAATAGAAAATAGAGAAGAGCACAATTTCTTCGCTTAAGTTAACCTGTTTGGGGTTGACACCAGAAGATGCATAAACTCATGGTCATCCCAATAAACAACCAATTGTAGCTCCGCAACAACTACGAGATGAAGTAAATCTTTGATAGTACAACTAGCATTAGCAACAATTTCAGCCACTAAAAGAGGTCTACATCCAGCTTATCAGCCCTCCTATTACATGAACTTGAGAACAAGGATTGACATTTTCAAGAGAACAAGCTAAAAATTCAGACCATGCATCAAATGAATCCATCTCTTGCCACCTGACCTCCCTTTGTCAGTAGCAGATGACCTAATAAAGAATTCCAAATCCCTAACCAGTACAGCTAGATGACTAGAGACTTGGGCGCATTGTGCAGGGGCAATAACCAGAACACGGGGAAACAGTTTGTACAGTTACACCAAATCCTCGAGTCAATTAGGAGGGCTACGAACAATGTACAAAAGAAGACTTAACTGCAAGAAGAACATGGAAGCCGATAGCTCATTCCAAATCAAGTAAAAAGGACGATTTTACCACACACACACACACACAAAAAAAAGAACGATTCAATCGCTGAATTACGGATCACTGGATCTCTAACCATAACAGCGACATGAAACGAGAATGAAGAATTCGAGCCAAATGATTAGAAGAAGCGCAGAGAGAGAGAGAGAGAGTTACAGACCAGCTGTGACTTGGCCGCCGGGAGAGTTGAGGTACATGTGGATAGGCTTGGATGGATTCTCGGACTCGAGGAAGAGCAGCTGAGCGACGACAACGTGAGCGGTGTCGTCGTTGATGGGGCCGTTAATACAGACGATCCGCTCCTTGAGTAGCCTGGAGAAGATATCGTACGCTCTCTCGCCGCGGGAGGACTGCTCGATGACCATCGGGATTACACTGTAGGCGCGGGACGCGGTGGTCGAGGAGGATGCAGTCCTGCCGGCGGTGAGTGAAAGGATAGGGCTAGCGGCGAACATCTTGGCGCGGGAAACGAGAGCCCTCATGTCGACGGTGGACGGCGGCAGGCGGACGGCGGAAAGGGAAGAAGAAGGACAGGAATGGAGTAGAGGCCGTGGGTTGTTGGGGTTTATGTGGATCGAGCTCGAGTAGTACATAGCGGGAACGGAGATCTGTCTCTGGTCTCTCTCCGTGTAATGAAATGCTTTTATATTAATCCTTTTTGAGTGCCCAGGAGGTTTCTTACTGTACAAGATTTCAGCTCTCTTCGACGACTTTGGGAACCACTGAGTATCAAATCAGCTACCAAGATTTGGTATGGATGACTTGATCGTTGTTCAGGGCTTACAACTCTCAAGAATCGTCAATTTGTCGACAAAACTCGCGGATTACTCTTCCTTGGTATAATTAAGTAAGTGAATGAGCTTAACATGAAACTGGTATTCTTTTCAGATCAAATGAACTCTGAAGGGATCAGAAGAGAAACCAAAACTGATTTTGATAGTCTGCTACATTGCATAACAAAGAGAACTTCGATTAACCAAACTGTTACAAACTTAAACCAATACTAAGCACTTTAGGATTCAGTTCTGCTAATGAAGGAAGATAACAGACAATACAACTGGAATCTAGAACAGAGATGTTCCCTTGCCCTTCTTGTCTCCACCGATTTCAAAGTGCTTGCACCTCTGCATCCAACAGTAGAAAAAAAATAACACCATCAGTATGTGACAGCAGCGGGCACTGGAAACAGCGAATGTTCTACTGAGTACTGACCTTGATTGGGTGCTGAGAGACATGCTTGCAGCCTTGGCATTGGAGCCTCAGGACAATCTTCTTTGTGGTTTTTGCCT